AATAAAATGCTTTTCTAAATAAAAATGTCTTCAGCTGTTTTTTAAAAGAATCACTGGAGTCCATGCAGCGTAGAGACAGTGGAAGAGAATTCCACAACCGTGGTGCCACTGCCTGAAAGGCCTGATCACCACGAGTTTAAAATGAGTGCGCGATACCACCAGCAGTCTCTGATCTAATGACCTTAAAGCTCGAGAAGATGAATGTGGTTTCAGAAGGTCAGATAAATATTGGGAAGCCTGACCATGTAGGGCCCTAAAGGTTAGAACTAAAATTTTAAAATGAAACCTAAAACTTACAGGCAACCAGTGAAGGGAGGCTAAAACTGGAGTAATATGAGATCTTCTCTTGGTGCCTGTTAAGAGTCGTGCTGCAGCATTCTGCACAGTCTGTGTCATGGTCCTGGGTCGAGCGACCCAGTGTTTGAGTTTATGTATCTTTTGTATTTATTTGTGCCTTAGCTTAGTTCACCTAGTTAATTTCTAGATTACTCTGTAGTCCTGTTTCTTAGTTGTTTATGTCATCTCCCCCTGTACTAAGTCTACCTGGTTCATGCGTCATGTCTGTGTGGTTATGTTTGGTTCATGTCCTGTCTAGTCTCCATGTTTCCTGTTTTACTTTGAAAGTCTGTATTCAATGTCAGTATATGTAGGCTGTGTCCCAATTAAGAGACTGCACGCTTGAAGTACGCATTTTAACTCATTCACTGCCAGCCATTGGCAGTGAATGAGTTAAACCCATTGACTCATTCACTGCAATTGACGGCTATAGACGGCAATGGCAGTGAATGAGTTAACTGATCACCTCATGTGTGTATTTAGTCCTCAGTCTTGCTGTGTTCAGTGTCGCGTTGTCTGTGTTATCTCCCCTACCCCTTGTCATAGTTTCCCAGCCATAGTTTGTATTTTGTTTAGTCATAGTCTAAATCTCAGTAGTTTTCCAGTCTATGTTCAGGTTTTCCCTCAGTTACTTTGTTGTTGTTTTTTCATGAGTTTTCGGCCCTAAATAAAGGCTTGCCTTTTGTTAAGTCCAGTTTTGTGTCCTCACCTCTGTTTGCTCTTGGGTCCTCTACTCACTCCACACGGTCTGCCCCAGCAGTCCGTGACAGTCTGAAGACAATTTAAGGCTGATTTGTTAAAACAAGTAAAAAGGCAGTTACAGTAGTCTAAACGAGAGGAAATGAAAGCATGAATAATCATCTCAAGTTCAGGTTTTGACACCATTAGTTTGAGTTTAGAAATGTAGTTTCGGACCAGCTGCTTAGAATGCTGCTCGAGCAACACTGAGCTGTCAAATATGACACTGAGGTTTCTGAGGCTCAATTTAACAGAAGGGTCTAAGAAGCTGATATGCCGCCTTAATAAATATAAAGAATAGAACAGTTTGCAAGTATCTTTATGACTGCGGTATAGTACATACTCCATGTTCTACATTATAATCAGTCCAGTCTTTTTTAGCCACTTAAAGTATCTTTGGATTGTTGTTGTGTTTTGGTGCAATTTCTCCTGCCCTCTTGGCCTGATCTCGCTTGAAAAAGTCATTTTTTGTCACGGTTCTGGGTCCGTTGGACCCAGTATTTTGAGTTCATTATGTTTTGGTACTTTTGCATCATGGATTTTCCTTTATGTTTCTCTGGTACTTGGTGTTTCAGTTATCTTGGTGTTTTTCTATATTATGATTTATGATCTGATACTGTTGTGATTATGATTATCATTT